ACACACACACACACACACACACACACACACACACACACACACACACACACACACACACACACAGTGATTGGACCATTCATTTAGCTCAGCTCCAAAGGTCAGTGTCGTAACTAAGATGAATAAGTCGTCTTTGGTTTCTGGTCTAATTGAGCTTTGACAGAGTTCTGCTTCGTTCTGTGGAACCATGTGACCCTCGAGCACAGATTGAACCAGATTAGGATCATCTGTGTGCAGTAAAATGGTGTGATATCAGTTTTTATCAGARTGAGGTGAATGAGTTCAGTCCATTAATTCAGCTTTGGGTTCGGCTGCTGATTRAATCAATTTTGGATCCGAAACGAATTTCATTCTTCTGAGTAGTTCCACATCCACTGCACTGCTTTTACCTCTTCTCTTCATTGTAGCCTTTTCTCTACATTTATCACTTCATTATCCTCATGTCTTTTTTTCCTGTCCTTGTAAACTCTTTTCTCTGCTTTCATTTTGCTTTAAGCTTTTCCTCCTGTTCTGTTCTGTTTTATTCTTTAAACAGAAAAAATATAATTTTCTCTCTCCTGCTCACCCTTTAACATYTCTAACTCTTAACGTTTTTGTATCAATATTTTATCTTTTCCTCTAACGTCACCTTTCCCTCTGTATTTCAGGCCTTCATTATCTCTACACCTATTTTGATTTTTGCATCTTTAGTGCTTTTCTCCTCTTTTTGTCACCTATCACAGCTAACTGACCATAATCAACACAAGAAATGGCTAAAACYTCTTCAATTTTACTGATTCTAAACAATAATTTGATGTAGTAGCATTACAAGGTTTGACCAAAACTTTAAATCCATCCCTTCTTATAGTAAAACCATCTTTATTTTTAATTCTGGCATAAAAGACAACAGATGACATGTATTCCTTTAAGAAATGCTGGGTCTTAAGTTCACTTTTTCTCTATTTGCTACTTTTTTAACTTCCCAGTGTTGCCTTCCACTGTTTATTTCTCTGATCTGCTCCCCTCCACACCCCACTCCCGTCTTCTGTCTCTCCACAGTTCCAGAAACCACAGGAGCATTACCCGCCTTTTCGCTTCGGGACCGTCCCAAARGGGAGCACAGAGAGGAACATCCGCAGCAACTACCCTGACATGCACACACACATGATGAAATACAATCAGAAGGGGGTGGAAGAGGCACTGGAGAGCCTTAAAACCGGGTAAAGATTTGCTCACATTTGAAGCGTTTCGCATAATTACAACCAGGAAGCTATTTTTAACTCTCTTCCCTCCCTTTCCTTTGTGTCAGCTTTATAAGACGGCCCGGAGATGATGATTAGGATTTCATCGACACAGCAAAGATTTGATGTTCTTTGTGTTTCACACCTATTTTTGAATRAGGCCACAGTGATGGGTGTATTTTTAGATGGAGTCATGTCTCGTGTTGCTTAATTTATAATAATAAAAAAAAGTGCTGTCAAACATTTCATTTTGATGAAGACGCAAATAGGATTTTAAGTCCTTGAAGATGTGTTCTGGTCTCCAGGATGCTTATGCTAAATATACTATTTGTGTGAAAAACCTGAAAGTCATCTGGGCTGTCAGTTCTTCACTGAGAACATTATGGTTCCAAATTCAACAATTCGTCATTACACTTAACTTTGTTTGATTCTAGCCGGTGTAATCAGTGGTAGTTTTATTGAAATCCATGAAATGCTTCATAAAAAATGTTGCGAACAGACAAATGGCATCGACTTCAATGCTCTCAAAGCTTGACATTTTGGGTGATTTGATTGTTCCTGTAATTAGCTGAACGCAGCACAACTTGAAAAGTAAAAAAATGGTCTACAAACCTGAAAAACTACTGTCCTGGATGCACAGAGGGAACGGGTCAGGAATAAATTAGAACTAACAAGGATAATCTACTTTGTTTTTCGTAGGAAGCTGGATGCCTTCATCTATGATGCTGCTGTTTTGAACTACATGGCCGGGAAAGATGAGGGGTGCAAACTGGTGACCATTGGCAGTGGGAAGGTGTTTGCCACCACTGGGTATGGCATTGCTCTGGAAAAAGACTCGCGCTGGAAACGACCTATTGACCTGGCACTGCTGCAGTTTCTTGGAGACGGTGAGCACAGACCTAATAAAGCTCAATAACATCTAAAACATGAAATCATACCGTTACAGCAAGCACAGACCACTCTCAGTGCTCTGGTTTTGAGCATTATAAGAGGTGCACGTGATTTTCCCACAGACAAAAAAATTGTGCAAAAAAAACCTTTAAAGTTCTCGTCAAAATGATTCAACGGTACCAAGAACGCTCACATTTTCTAGCCTTCCTCTCTTTGTGTTTATGCTTGTCCCACTTCTGTGTTTGGGTGTCTTGTAGCTGGCGTCGGTTCAGATTACCGAATGTGGTGTCAGCAGGAAAGTGGACTTACAGGGAAGAGTTAATATCCTGCAGAACAATGGGGTGTTAGGAATAGGATTACCTGCTTCATACACACCGACACACGTGCCATAATGGCTGCTGGTATGGACTTAATATTGTTTTTCCTTTGGG